TCAAACGACATTCGGTTTATATATACGACCAGTTATATATATATATATATATATATATATATATATATATATATATATATATATATATATATCCCGTTCATGGCGTAATCCGTCTTTGGGTTCCCGTTCGCCAAGCCTGTCTATTCTGCCAGTCTTCTTCAGATAGATTTCTTACTAACATTGCTTTTGAAATTCCTTGCATCGATGTTGTTGGTGGTCGTCCTCGTTTTCTTTTCTCTGGTGGTACCCATTCTAATATTTTTTTTTTGGTAGTCTTTCTTACCCCATAAAGTCTAACATGTCCGTACCATGCCAGTTGTTGTTTTTCGATGTCTTCTATAATTGGTCTTTGTACATTCTTTGAATTCCTTATGTCCTCATTTCTCACATGTTCTAATCTAGACTTTCCCGCTGCTTTTCTCCAAAAATCCATTTCAACTGCAAATAGGTTACCTTTAAGTTTTTGTGATAACTGCCATACTTCTGAGCATTAGAGGATTACTGGTTTCAATATGGTATTATATATTCTTTTTTTCGTTTCCGGTCTTATATTTTTCTGCCATAGTACTAAATTAAATGCACCTATAACTCGTTTCCCTTTGGTTATTCTCTCTTTTATGGCTTCATCAGTTCTTCCTCTTTGTTAGTTTTACCCCCAAATATATACATTAATCGCATTTCTTCTTCCCGTCTTCTAAGTAGAGGTCATCTGCCGTATTTTCTCCTCCTATGCAAAGATATTGCGTTTTTTTTGTAAATTTACTTCGAGGCCCCATTTTTTGTACTCTTCCATTAGTTTTCTAGCCATATATTCCAGGTCTTCCTTGTCTTGGGCAATAACTACCTGGTCATCTGCATAGTGCAACGTGTATAACGTTTCATCCCCAATAGATAGCCTCATCCTTTTACACTTCTTTTTCCAGTGCCTGAGTGAGTGCTGAGGCGCTAAAAAATCATTTTTAGCGGCAGCAGTCCTGAAGCCAACAGGGGTAAATTCATTATACACTACATTATTAAATTTCAATATTATTCACTTTAATAATGCTACCTAGGGTTAAAATGAAATCATAAATATTAATATATTTGTTGGAAGTGAATCTATGATATTCTTAGTTCTTTAATCACTATTTAATGTTTTATTACGTTTACATGTATAATAGACCACATGTTCTTTTGCTGTGCTAAGTTTTAACAAATTGCTAATTGTTGTTAGTTTAATTGATTGTCTACCTATACAATATTATCGTATAATGTCCATTTACTTGAGCTTCTTTACATTTTTAATATCTTTGACTGTTACATATCTTTTTGAGATGAACTGATGATGCTTTCTGAATATGAAAGCGAAACGTCTTCAATAAATAGATAAAGTAGCCATCAACTTTGTCTTTTTTCTCCACCTTTTGACCGATAAAAGAACCCACCACTCGTCTGAGTATATATATATATATATATTGAATAGTATGGGAGATAAACAACAACCTTGCTTCAGTCCTTTTGTTACCTGAAAACCATTAGAAACCTTATTTCCTATTTTAACTTTTGATATTGTGTTGTTATTCGATTAGTGAAACGCTGATACTGGTTTTTTCTCCAATACTTCCCACAATTTCGCAACAAGCACGGTGCCATATGCTTTTGTTAAATCTACTTAAAGTAAATGCACTTTTCGAGATCTTAGTGTTCTTTTCTCGAGTATTTGGAATAAGCAGACAATAATATCTATTGTGGATCGTCCTGCTCTTCTGAATCCGTTTTGTTCTTCTGATTCAAAAGGACGGTATTCTTCGCATATGCGTTCTCATATAATTCTCCCATATAATCTAAAATAATATAAACGAGCAGTAACTAGTTATTAAAAAGTTTATAGAAAAAACAGTGAAATACAACAAAATATAGACCATACGTCTACGTATTCAAGTTGTGATGTTGGAAAAGAAAGATACGAATACTTGGAACAGGCACAAAGACAGTCACATCAGTTCATCATTGCAGACATTATACAGCGGCTAATGGTCTAGAAAAAACTTATGAGAAAGGGAAGGTGATCACCAATCAGATGAACTAACTCAGTAGAAAAACTATTAAATACAAACTTCGAAAGTGCAGTACGAGCAACCCAGAATAGCGAAAGGTGAAAACCTGGTCTTTAAAATAACATACAGACTGGAAGAATAGATACTCCTGTCATCTTATTAGTTTTTTCCCGATAACTTGAATTATGTTTCCATTGCCGTGCAATAGTATCGATCCTCTTTTTATGAGATTTTTATATATATATTGGGGATGTTATATCTGAAGAAGGTTTAAAACTTCGACTAACTCAAGTTACAAAGTAGATGATAGTACAGCCCTATACTAAAAATTTAAAAATATACAGAGTGTATCTCACCAATATTCTCTGATATACAATTAATATACGACATAAATAAATAATACACTATTGCTTGCTTTTCAAACATTTTTAGAAACCTTTACTGTGAAATTTTAAAAATTAGACATTTTTTCATGCTATTTGGCATTTTATCATAACATGAACATTTATTTGTAGAAATTGTAAAAATGTACATACATATTTCTAATTTCTTATCAAGTAATTAGATTTAATTATAAAGTTGTAAAGGTTGTGTTAAAATAAATAGTATAAGCTTAAGATGTTTGTTATCTTTACTTTATTTAACAAATTGGAAATTTGGTAAATAAAGCAGAATTTGTTAAAACAGAATTGGAAAAGGCACTTGCTTTTATAAGTTTAGAATCGAACATTTTTTATAGGTTTTTCACCTGATCGTGAAGGAAATGTTTGTGTTTCTGAAAAACAAGAAGGAATACTTGTGAACGGTGAAGTCATCAATAATTTGCGATATGCGGACGATACAGTACTCCTAGCTTCTAGTCAAGAAGATCTGCAAACACTACTTTTGAGAGTTGTAGGGAGGCAAGGCTGGATCTGAACATATGGAAAACCAACATACTTGTAATAAGTAAAAAACAACATATAAACAGCAAAACCGTCTATATATTATGTAAATAATACAAACCTTAAGCAAGTTGATAAAATCGTTTACCTTGGACAGCAATTAAATTGTAACGCAGAAAGTCACGGCGAAATTAGATCTAGGATACAACAGGCTAGAGCTGCTTTTAGAAGGATGTTTAATTTGTTATGTAAGAGAGACCTAAAATTGGCATTGAGGATCCGCCTACTTCGCTGCTACGTGTTCTCGGTCTTACTTTATGGTGTCGAGGCCTGGACTGTGAATAAAATCGATCTAAATCGCCTTGAGGCTTTCGAAATGTGGTGCTCTAGAAGAATTTTAAAAGTTTCCTGGGTGGAGAAGATTCGAAACTCCACAATACTAGAACGTCTCAGCAAGACTACTGAGATTATAAAAAGCATCAAGCAGAGAAAGCTGGAGTATTTCGGACATGTAATGAGAGGTCCCAAGTATAGGTTGCTACAAAATATCATGCAAGAAAAAATAGTAGGCAAACGTAGTCCAGGACGAAGAAGAACCTCATGGTTGAAGAACTTGCAATGTTCTGATGGTATGATGTTGAGAAGAACAAGCGGGATTTGTCCCAGGAAAAGGCACAAGAGAACACATCCTTAATGTCAGACAGCTAATCGAAAAAACTTATGTGCTTTGTGGATTACACAAAGACCTTCGATAAAGTCAAAAGGCAGCAGCTATGGTTCATACTATCGGAAATGGGAACACCCCACCACTTAATTCAACTAATTAGAATTCTATATGAATATAATAAGTGCACAGTAAAAATAAACAACACCCATTCCGATCATTTCAGAACAGGCAGGTGTCAGGCAGGGATGCATAATCTCGCCAACTCTGTTTAATATCTACAGCGAACACATTATGCGAAAGGTACTAGACGGATGGAAGGGCAGAATATCAGTAGGTCAAAAAATCAATAACTTGAGATATGCTGATGACACTTTAATAATCGCGGCAAATCAGGACGAAATGGAAGACATAATGAGATGTTTGGCGGAAAAAAGCAAAACATATGGACTAAAGCTAAATACGAGTAAGACAAAGATCATGATAGTAGACAGAGCTCGGAATAATCTTCAACACATTAAAGAAATTGGGGGCTTTGAAGAGGTAAATACTTCCATATACCTGGGGTTCTAATAACAAATAACGGAGGGTGTGACAGAGAAATACGTAGAAGGTTGACTATTGCTAGAATAGCCATGATGAAACTGATAGCAATTTGGAAAAAATCTAGGATACATATACACACGAAACTAAGGCTGGTAAGGGCGCTCATTTTTCCCATAGCCACATATGCATCCGAAACGTGGACCTTAAAGAAAGCGGATAAAAATAAACTGGACCTTTTGAAATGTGGGTATACCGCCGCATGTTGAGAATATCCTGGATTGATCATCGCACTAACGTATCGATACTAGAACAACTTAAAGTAAAGGATATATTGCTTAAACAAATACAACAGAGATATTTGCAGTATTTTGGACACATTGCTAGAAGAACAGGCACGATGGAAAAACTGATAGTCGAGGGTAGAGTCGAAGGAAAAAGACCTAGGGAAGATCTCCAAGCCGTTGGGTAGATCAAACAAAAACATTGATTAACCAAGGGTTACACGAGGCCGAACAACTAGCCCAGGACAGAGAAGGATGGGTGGAAATCCTAAAAAAACTGTGAAGGCCTGATGCTGTCACCACATCCCAAATGGGATTAGGACTGAGGAGGAATTTCACTAATAAAAGATACACAATATGTATCATTTGAAATAAACGAGACTCCAATATTGCCATATGGTGCTCAACTATGGATATATACCAGCAAAAACAATATCTTAACCTGTAATGTTTCTGATAAGTTTAAAATGTTGACCTATCATTAGGAACATCCATGTCAATCTAATAAGTTACGCGTTATGTTGAAATATGTAAACAGAAAACTACAATTGTGTTAGGTTTTGGCCATAAATAATTTACAAACAGAAAGTCTTTGTTTAATTTTTATTAATTATTTTCGTGGTACACTATCAGTATACCAATCAACGACTTTACAATCTTGCCAAATATATTTTCCTTTTAAGTTAGCATCCAAGGCTGCAAACAACGTACTTTTTGCTCCATCTTCAATAGACAAAACTCCTTTTTGAGACGTCATATCTGTTTTTACATAACCGGGATGGACTGAATTGATGGATATGTTACGATTAGGCTTTTCTTCATCAAATAATCGCTGTTGAATGTTTGTTAATGCCGATACGCCAACTTTTGAAACTACATATGTGGAACTTCCCCAACCTTCTTCCACCGTCTTATTGTTTTCAGCTGATCTAAAAAAAATATATTTAAATTTTGCAATTTGAAATGGGTCATCAAGATTCTTATGACTAACGAAAAATGTTTTGATTATATGTCAGCTTCGAAAAAATCGTGAAAGTTCCGTGCAACTTCATATCAAAAAAATAAACAGCAAAGGGAGTTATGTTTGTGTCACTATATGTATACACCATTGGCTGGGTTTATATATTATACATCATTCGCTAATACTGAATTTCTCACGTGAATTTTATTGTAGTTTTCCAAAATTCTAATAGCTACATGGAAGGTTCAGTCTCGATGCTATCAGACCTTTTAAAAAGCGCCAGGCTAGAGAATGTAATCTAGGATTAGAGGACCACTATAGATCTCAAAAGGTCGCAGTGGAATAAGCCAAATGTCACCTCATTGAATCTATCTATCTATCACAGTATAGTCGCCTCGTATTTCGGCGAGCCTGTGTAAAAATATATTTATCTGTAATAAAAGCAGACAATAAAAATTAAAATAAAAGTACTCTACCAGGAGTAGTTATTAACTAGAAAAATTCCAAATATTACTTGAAACAAATTACAAATTCAAGAATTTTATTTGAGAAAGATTTCTACTTTGAGGCGTCATATAGTAAAAAGCAATTGTTGGAGGTTGTTTATAGTAGAGAGTACCAGAAGGAATATGTTGTTGATAACTGTACTCGCATAATGGGAATGTCGTGTTTAGACTTCCTCCTTATTATTGTACATTGAACCCAATATATTTAATATGGACTCAACTTTAAGGAAATATAAGAAGAAACGTGGCTGCTAAATTTTCGTCTACTCACGTTCAATTTCCACTTCGGAAATCATTCAAAAAAGTGGAAATTGAAACGTTAAAAATAAAATTATTTTAAACGTAAATTGTGGCTTATTCCCAGTACAAATAGTAATTGCATAAAGATGCCACAAGCAAATAGCTTCAAAATAATATTACGATTATCCACCGTCATTTATACACAAGGAATTTCACAACATTGAAGAAAGGAAAAAACAAAATACCAAAAACGGTCCAGAAATGCTCAGATTTTTTTTATATCCATAATATCTAAATCTACTTTAAAATTTTCCATCTACTTCTGTAAGCTTTTACTGTCATAGATTTATTGTCCCATCGCTACAGTCTTTTCCTTTTGATGCACTTTAGTATATCAATATCATGTCCAGTCCACACACATTTTGGTGAAAATATGTAAATGTCTTTCTATTTCCAATCAAGGTACCAAATAAAATAACTCTCTCATACTTTTTATACAATGTTTTCCACTCAAAGAGATAAATACAGCAAATAAATAAAAATCGCAAAAAATGATGATATAAAACATTGTAATTGATGTTTTGTTTACACTGTCTAGTAATAATGTTGATTAAAGATATTTACAGGAGAGAAAAATGCAAATACAATTATTTACTCATTCAATCTTGAAAAAATTGTTATAGAGAATGAATTAAAAATAACGAAAATGGAACTAAAATGGTTTGACAATTGGGAAAACAAGTTAAGGATAATTCCACAAATCAAGGTAATTTCTGTTTATACTATAATTCTACTATTTGGAAGAGTGATTTCATCCTTTGAAGGCGGAGAGGTGGGAAACGACGTAGGAAAATCCAGTGGCGTACAGTCACTTTTATTTCAACGTTAATTATATCATATTTTTAAAATAGTATTTGTTCTGAATAGGCCACAATATATTTACTTACAGGCTTTTACTGACGATTCGATACCTATATCCAAAGACCGTTTTCAAGGATATAAATGATATATTTCTCCCAAAAATTCTCCCTAAAAATATAGAATGTCACAAGCTAAGGAAAAATTAACAGATCTATCATTTGTATACTTGAATACGGTCTCTGGATATAGGGATCGAAACGTCAGTAAATTAAACATATGAATAAATATTTTGTGGCTTAATCCTGCAAGTTACGCTAAAATGTCTATTGACGTAACCTGATTAGGTTCTAATTTTGTTAAGATTCTTTTAAACTAGCGCTAAAGTACTTCGGAAGTCATTTCTTCATGATAATCTCATGTTTATCTTGACTAAAATTGAAGTAAACCATCATCAAGGAACCCTGTATCACTTCCTATATTGATAATGATTAAACGTCGTCCCTTTCCTGAAGGAGCATTTAATCCTATAAACCAGCTTTCTATAAATGAATCGCTTATTTATGAATGGCCTCTTGTCAAAAAATGTAAATTTTGGAAAACAAGAAAAAACTTTTTAGTTTTAAAAAAACGATTTTATACTTTTCTGATTTTTCGAAACATTTTAAGGACCTTAAAACTCAAAATAAATCATGTTAGTTACAATTTTTAAAATCAATATTGTATTTTTTTATTTAGGTGACAAAAAGCCTTTCATAAACAAAAGTTTTGTTTTACGGGGAAAGTTTTTATTGGTGGATAATTTATACCGTGTTTATTTATAATTAAGACTAATTTATTAAAACAGTTCTAAGACAATACAATTAGCTACAATTAATTGCCATTTTGTACATTTTTGCCTATTTTTTGGTTGCAACTGTAGGCCATTGGGCAAGCTCATTGTAAAACCACTTGTATTCTTGAGGTACATACTGCAAAAGTTTCTTCAGGTCATTAATTTTTTTCTTGATGAATTGGTACCTTTGATTTATCAGTTTTTCTTGCTACTAAGGAAGGGGTGGATGGCTCAGAAATAGACAGTGGATTAGATAATAATTTGAAGTCCACTAGAAAACTAAGTTTCTGTAGCTGGCTGTATACCATATATCACAAATTTTTTTATTTCAAATCCTTTATAAAAGGTATATAATAAAATACCCAAATGGGCTATATTACAATTACATTACAGAACGTTTTCTAAATGTTAATTCCATCATCAGTGTAACGATGTATACATGATATGAGCCACTAAAACATATGGGTAAAAACCCGTTAAATGTGGTTAATTTATAGTTGTGTTACATTTGGTAACATGGCGACGTAGGACCCTACGTCGTAACCTATGTAGCCATGTAACCTATGTAGGTAACTGAAGAGAAATATTTTATTTTATTATTTAACAGTTGACTATAACATAAAACAAAAACAAGTGGTTAATTAATAATCTCCAAACAGTGAATATCTGTCAACAATCAGCTGACCACGCAATGTTGCCAACGCTGCTTTTATTTATGACAAGCCCCTTGTCATTGACACGAGGCTTTTCATAAATAAACAATAATTTTAAACTAATATATCTGATAAATGAATAACAAGACATGAGGCTTTTCATAAGCAAACGATGTGCGAGCATATGGGTTATTATTTTCTAAGTTAAACGAAAATTTGAAAAAAAGTGACATGAGGCCTTTTATAAATAAGCGATTCAAATGCTTCGCGTTTACTTTTAACATTTAAATCTTGCCAAACTTTTCCGACTGTATGACCTTCGTTAATCCAGGTTTCATCCAAATAATATATTTTCAGTTCAATGCTGCGAATTTTGCGTATTTCTTCTAAATATTTTCTTCTCCACAAAGCAATTTCTTTTTTTTACAACATTCTTTTTCTGTAGAGTTTTACATATCGAAAATTCATTTGGCGCATAGTCCTGATTAATATTCTACGAGATATCTTGTTGAAGAAGTAATCGTTTTCGAGCTTTTGAGAACTTTTTCAGTGTTGTAATTTCACTCCGAAAATAAAATGAATGAATGTTTCGCCGAATAATACTAAGTGTCTTGTCATCCAAAACAATGTTTTTTCTACCTCTAGTTTTACCTTTATCTTGCTTTTTATTTTCCGATCTCTTTTTGAGCACACGATAAATACAGCTAACGGATACTTTTGTTAAACTGCTACAAATCTCGACCGCTTGGCTAACATTTGATGCCATTTTTCTGCTGACAATTCGTTCATATCGTATCACTACTTTATCTTCTGACGTTAACATGTTCCGTCTCTTTTGCGGCTTTTCATTTTTGGAATCAACAGAATTTTGCTATTTTCTCTTGGAACAACTTGGTTGTTCGTCCATTGTATTTCAATAATCACAGAATATAACTAAAACTTCGTTATAAAACGACAAACACTCGAATAACACTCGGTGCATCACCACAAACTTCAACCGCACAAAATATAATCACAAAATGCAACACCAGCACTCCCGCCAGCACCGCCTATGTAAATGAACGTTTCTTGCTTCGGCACAGACGGTGGTGTTACCGTTGCGATGCTTTACAAATCCTCAAGTTGCCAAGTCTTTGAAATATAATGGGAATGAAATGTAAAATATCGATTTTTATTTTATAAACATAAATATATAACGAAACGGAACATGTAAATAAAATTTATTTCATTACAATTTTGTGCTCAATTTTTTACTATTAAACAACTCATTTTTTTGGTATTTTTATGACGGTAATAAACGCTGTGTCCAAGAATTCAGGTTTATTTGACCATAATTGCTACTTATGAACAAGAAACTGCTACACTGTACGGCAGCTCGTGGCCAAGTCTGCTATACATTCTGTGATTTCTTATGAGAAAACGCATATTAAACTCGTAGTTTTCGACGGCCGCTATGTAAATTTAAATTTGAGGATATTTGGCGCTTAAACGATGAAATCACTCTTCCAGATAGTGGATTTTTAGTTTAGAGTGTGACCCTTAGGTGCTTTCTAACGAAATAAATAAATTTATAAAACATGTAAAAAATTTCAAATTAATATGGAACAAAAAAATCATTGCATGTTTCTAACTCCCGTCTCGGAGAAAGAAATAAGCCACATAATAATTAACTTAAAAAACACAAGCATGGCTCTGATTATAGCGAAATATCAACCAACATAATTAAATTTGTTTCATCAAAAATTTCTCTACCTCTTTCTTTTATAGTTAATGCTTCTTTCAGGAAAGTACTTAAATTTCCTCAAAGTTTAAAACTGGCCATTGTTTGCGATGGTGATGTTACAGTAACAAAGGTGATGTTACTAAAATGGAGAACTATAGACCAATAAGTCCTCTTCCATCATTCTCAAAAATATTCAAAAACTCGAAATATTCCAGACTACAAAACTTTTTTACTACAAACAACTTATTTAGTAGTTTGCAGCATGGTTTTCTCACAAGGAGATCTATTGAGACAGCTACCTATGATTTTATATCAAAAATTTTATAAAAACTAGAGGTGAAAACACTAGGCGCTTTTTTGGGCCTATCTAAGGCTTTCGATAGCCTAGATCATGTTCTTATGACAAAAATTTCATCGTTAGGGAATACAGGGACCAGCATTAAAATGGATAAAATCATTTCTCACAAATAGGTCACAAAAAGTATGCTTGGAGAAAATGGATGTAAGGTTTACTCTGAACCAATCAATTTAAAATTAGGCGTAGCACAGGAGAGCGTCTTGTGGCATTTTCTCTTTTTGGTCTATATAAACGACCTTACAAATGCAGTTGTTAATTGGTATGATGTTCAGTTACATCTGAAAAATAGCATATACTGGATTAAGTTTAGTTGTGATTGTTTTGTCAATAATACCCATGAAGCTACAGGCCCAATTGATTACAGAAGGAATATCATCATCTAGAGGAGAAAGAATAATGGCCAGTTCATAACAATAGAGTATCACTTTACTGAACCCATGATCAGGATAGTATAAGGAATGTATGCATAACTTACTTTACAAATCTTTCCATTATCTTAGTAAGTTCTGGTACTGTCAAATCCCCTTTTGAAAATTCTTGTCTAAGAGCTTCAGATGGGATCCTAAATAAATGTCCTGCTGAACTAGATAAATTTACTACTTTTGCATTGTTTCTCAGTAAAGGAAACAGAGCTTCACAAACTCTTAGTGTTCCAAAATAATTTACTCTTACAGTTTCTCTTGCTTGCACAGCCACTGGGTCAGTTGAATCAGACTGAAAGTAAATAAAAAAAATTACATTAAATCATATTCTTACAATAAAATCATATAAAGCTTGGTGCATATTGGTGAGCATAATAGTGACTGTTTTATGAATAAAGAACAATGTAACCAATATGATCACAGTATAAAACTTAGTGAATATTTTTGTGGTTGTAAGTAATAGTGATTGTTCTGATCCTAGGGTGCCACTTAATTCTTAATAGGTTCTCACCTTAAATGCAATGGCAGCATTATTAATCAATAAATCTAAACCTCCATGCTCCTTTTTTATAAAATCTTTAAATGAATCAACACTGTTTTGGTCATTGATATCCAACTGATGAAACACAGGTTTTAGATTGTTTTCTTTTTCTAACTGAGCTACAGCTAATTTCCCTCTATTGGCATCCCTAGCAGTAAGATAGACAATGCCATTAAATCTTTCACAAAGACCTTTGACAATTGCATATCCAATGCCTTTGTTTCCACCTGTAACCTAAAAAAATAACCAATTAGTAACCTTCATCACCGCCTTCATTAAGGTAACATACTTTAAATTTAAAACTTATTTAATTTGAATTCATTATTTGATCTTTTAAAGTGGATAAAAATATTAGTATGTTATGGTATATTGCTGGTTATAGAATCTATGTTCACTCGCCATTTTACTAAATAAATTATAAATAAAATAAATGATCCACAAAATTCTTTTTTTAAGTAGTCATCCAAAAGTCCACTGACTGAAGTCCTTCATAGTAAGTCTTTTGTAACAAGTAGGAATTTGTTCATATTATAAAAAAATAAAATTAAAACTTTGATATGTAATAAAGTAAAAAGTAAAATAAAAAAAATTAATGTTTATTATAATAGATACAGTAATCTTTCTTCTTCGTGTTGCAGTATTTGGTTAAAGCATTTCCATATAGTGTTCTGTAGATGACAAAATTTGGTCTGGATGCCATAATCTAGTGGCATGTGCATTCACAGTAAATGAAGGATGTTAAAGTTGCGCTGTCATTTTTAGAATCTGAATGAGAGCTTTTACAAACATTGAGAAATAGGTGTTGTTTGTTTTGTTTTATAAAAAAACCTTTGTAGGTAATCTTTAATACTGATATTCCTTATATTTATAACTCTCTGCATACTTTGTTCAGCTACTTCAATGTTGTTAATGGCAGGTCTTTTAAAGTTCAATAGGAAATGTGAACATCTTCTAGTAGGAGTTAACAGAATCTTGGGTAAATTTTTGTATCTGTAGTGATCAATATTCCTAATTTTTAGTTGGTCAATGCTCCTGAAATATTTAGATCTGCTAATGATATATAGTGGAAGATTGACAAAAAGGGGGATGATTAAATATTGAAATTTTTGCCAGATTTGGAAGGATTATCCTTTTTTGGAACATTGCTTTATTTTATGAAATGTTGACAGATAGAGAGACAACAAGGATTTTAGCATAGGCAACAATTGCTATGTCTTCTGCGAATAGTAAAACATAAGCACTATCATCATTGCGAAATGTACAGAAAAGATCATATATGTAAATGCTGTATATAAGAGCTGCGAAAGGTGCAAAGCTTGAATAATGTCTGGTTTTAGGTTGGAGAAATCAGAAATTGTTTATTTATTTTAATTGTTATATGATTATGTTTATGATTAAGTTAAATCTTGGATTAAGTGAAATGGAAGGGAAGAAATATTAAATTTGATGTTAAATGTAAGCTTAAATGATGCCACTCTTGCCATATCGTCAGTTATTTTATTCTTTCACATTACATAAAGATATGGTACTAGTGTAATAAGACGGAACAATGTCTATGGTAATGAAATTTATATTAAAGATAAAAAATGAAGATAAACTAAAGAGACTACATTAAACTAAACTTAAATTTGTTTTAAAACTTAAACTTAATTTATCAAAGCTGAATTACCACAAATAACTTGTGCAATGTAACAATGTTTAGCTGCATTTAACTAAAATAAAAATATTTATGAATGCTGTTTTATATTTATTCAAAACTTGTAGCTTCTCATAACACAATTTATAATTCTGTAAAAGTATCTTTATATTTAAAACATTCATAAACATTATACAAAAAAAATATGGCAACACTATGACATTTGAGTATGTTTAGTGCCTTAAGAGCATAGGCCAAAAATTTCGGGTGAATGCTTTTTAAATGCATTCATTTTTTTCGAATCTTGGAAAAACTTTCAAATATTTTTGAAAAATTTAAACGCAGAATGGAAGATTACATTATTACCGAGGGCCGAAAGGCCTTGGAATAAAAAAAAGTTTTTTTGAATAAGATACTTGAAATTAAAAATCACACTAAATTTTCTCTTCTTTTTCACCCCTGTACTTAACTTATTAAAATAAATATTATAGAAGTTTTCAGGGACTTTCGGCCCTCAGTAATAATGTATTCTTTCATTATGTGTTTAAATTTTTCAAAAATACTTATTAGTTTTCTCGGGATTCGAAAAAAATGAATGCATTTAAAAAGCATTGGCCCGAAATTTTGCGCCTATGCTCTTGAACTAATCACTATCTGAAAATTAAATCCATCTTACTAAGTATCTAAATTATAAAGTTTCTATCATGAGATTTTAACCCAAATATCATAGTATAGCAAGAAATAATCATTTACAATTAACCACACATGCTTATCTTAAAGTATCTTAAAATTAACTAACTAGCTTTGGTTTGAAATAATATTCATAGTTAAAGGAAACTATTACAAGTATTGCATAATATGTAATGTAGTTAAGGCCCATCTAAATTCAGATTTAATACATGTATAGAACAACTACAAAAAAAAAAGAAAATCAAACTTCAAAAATTTATACTAGGTACAAATTGGAAGTTATAAAATTATATGAAGCAATAACAAATTTTGTAATTATTAGTCAATGAATGTTGAAAACAAAAATGAGTACATACTCAACTTTTGACCTCTAATAATTAATTAAAATCATTGTAATCATCAGTAAGTGAAGCAGAAATCATTGATATAAATTTCATCTCCATAGAGATCATATGCCATCTTACTACACTATACTAAAAGCACAATCAAGATGCACTAGAAATAAACAAACCAAGACACTTAAATGCTACTCCCAAATCATGATTTACAATGTATAAACTTTGTAAATCATGATTTGGGATTTATACAATGTAGTTATATATACTGTAAATAATTATTTGAGAGTGCTCCTTGCATGGATACGTCCATGGCTCCTTGTAACATTTAAGGTTAAGGTGGTTTGTTAATTTGTAGTCCATCTTATTGTGATTTTAGTATAGTACCAAAATATTTACAGTATATCTTACCACAGCAACTTTTTGTAAACTCATTTTTACTATACCCAGGGGATGGTATAGGTAATACTTTAAGCTCTACCTTAGCTTGACTGATAGAAACCAGCAAAAGTTTCAAAACAAAATTTAATAAAATGGCAAAAGGAAAGTGTAAACAATGCAAACCACAGATAATAAACCACCAAAAGTTCAAAATAATGATATTCAAAGAAAGTAAACACTGTGGTAAGTGGTAAGTTGAAAAATAAGGTTATATCATACGGGCTATTCTGTGTTCTGTCCGTTCTGTCACAGTATTGTGGTTCGTGGTTCGTGGTTCTGTTATCCCTTACCATCCCCATTCCACAACCAACAATCAATAATAACAAATACAAGGCCACATAAACAGAAACTTGGACGATTTTCGCCACATAAACAGAAACTTGGACAATTGCTAAAACAATTTTCTGATAATTTATTACAACTAATATCAAACGAAACAAATATTACTTCATTAATATTTTATATAAGGGACGGCGTTATGCATAACTCGACCAAGCGCCAAAACATAAGTTATAACAAATTGTCGCTATTAACCGATTAAAACAAATGTAAAAATGATATCGAAATCCTTTGATAAAACTTGAATAAAAAGTAAATTTTTTTGTTTCTTGGTTTTTAAAGGTACTACGGTATTACAAATAGTACGGTTTAAATATTTAAAGAGTTTAAATTATGCTACAACCTATTGTATTAGTCAATTAAGGTGAGGGAGATACTGTCTTGTTAACAGGAAAATTGTCTATCTGATAAACTAATCACTTCAAGCCAAAGGTATTATACATTTTTGAAATCAGAACAAAAAGGAGAATCCAAACAAAAAAGGGGGAAGTAATTAAAAAAAAATAAAGGGTTGATACAGGGGGTGAGAGGGTGCATTTTCCAGCAACCTTTAATATGATATTATGTCTCCTCCTTCAGATATTAATTGACGTGTTTTTGCGTTTTTCCAAAAAACTGGAGGTTCAAAAGTTATTTAAGGTGGATAGTTTTATCTGAAAAGCACTGTATATTATTATCTATATAAACATTTATTATGATCCATAGAAACATTTGCTCTGCTGTTATAATATTGATATATTATGTCTCTGCTGTTATTAATATTAATTCTTTTTATTTATATAACTAGAATTGCATCAAATGAAAAATTTAAATTTAATTTTTAAGTTTAACTTGCTATCATTAATTTTGTCAATTTGGCATTTTGACAACTTGGCTCGGGCCTACGTCACAAGAACATGCGGGTTGACTTATCTTGTTTTGTTATAGCGAAGAATATAGACGCTTAAAGTGCTATAAATATAAGACGCTTAATTAAACTGTGCCATTTGTTTAAATAGGTATGATATGACAGACAATGACAATTAACATCATCATAATTATTTTGTTCAGCCAGAGTACCCAAACAGCACAAGTACGTCCCATGGACGTCCAAAGGATGTACCTCATTAAATGTCCGGACATCCCACGGACATCCGTTTACATAATTTGGACGTCCCCGGGACGTCCAATAAGAGCTAAATGTTACCAAAAAGTACGTCCCCTGGACGTCCCAGGGATGTTCATGGGGACGTACATAGTACATATACAGAACTTAATACGGACTTATATAGGACCTAAGAAGGATGCATTGGGGACATCTATTGTACGTCCACATGGACTAATATAGGACCTAAATGAGGATGTATACAGGACCTAAAGGGAACTTAAAATTAATAAAATGAAAAGCAAAAATAAATGGGATTTTTATTGTGTACTTATATTAACATATGTATTTAAATTTATAGTATTTTTTAAGCACATTACTCCTACTTACTTTACAAATGTAGCAACACACCACAACCACAAAAATTACCTATAAAAGTCCTATATACCTACTTAATGTCTATAATAATAAATTACCAAACTATAAACTAGTATCGAAAGCAATAAACTAATTCTAATTACACCCACAACCACAATGATTATAATTCGAGAAATAAACGAGATAAATAGAAGCGTCGTTAAAACATAACCACATTCTTCTTTTATCTCCTAATTTTTAAATTTCAGTTCCACTACAGAACAAAATTTTAGAGATACAGCTCTGCTATAGGATAAAGATTTTTCTCTAAAAGGAGCCTCTGTCTGTTTTCGTATAAATTAATGGTATTTAAAACTAAATATAACTTTTTAAAATAAAGTTTAGTAGGAAGATTATATTTTGTAAAAAATATGCTTAAGTAAAAAAATGACACAGTTAACACCTAGAAAACGTCTCTCATACATCCCTAATGGGACGTCCCTTGGACGACCTTATGGGACGTCTCTGGTATGTCCGACTAGAAATATCCCTTGGACGTCCCTCGGACGTCCAAAAGAAGTCCCGGGACGTTTGGACCTTAAAACGACATAAAATGGACGTCCCAGGGATGTCCTGTGCTGTCTGGGTACATACTACCATTACTACCACTTGTTCATGTTGATTTCAAGATTCATCTTGATAAAAATCATATTTTTACTTATTAGAATTAGCAAACATATATCATCGTGATAACTATAATAATAAAACAATTGTAACGAATTATCTAGAAATAAAATATTTTTACACTTTACCTTAAAAAAAACCATGTTTGGGATATATTAAACTATACGATTTTTAATTAATCATGATTTAACCTTTTCGCTTTTAATTATTTTATTAACGTAAATAATTTTTTATTTTATTGAACTATTTGCTATTTGATCCCATAATTGGTAAATGTCGGATGTCCAGAAAACGTCCGAGTTCGGACGTCCAGGGAACGTCCGAGTATGGAGGTCCAGGGAACGTCCGAGTACGGACGTCCAGAGAACGTCTATATTTAGTCCACCCAAAGTACGTCCCACTTCGTACGTCCATTTTACGTCCAGGGACGTCCGGACCAAAACTGGACGTATATTGGACGTCCATAGGTCGTCGTGTGTTACTAGGGGCGTACCCGTCAGATTTAAGTAATGAGTTTTTGGAACAGCTGCAATTTGTTAAAAAATCAATAAAGACACAGTTGGAATCGGCAAAGTCTATTTTTATGATGCATCCAAAATTATTCTCATAGATTTTCATTGCACTAGTGCTTGCATACTAGAAGTGTGTAATGCGTACATCTTATTTTTAACTTAAACTTAAATTAATAAAATCATATCTTCGTAGTACAATGCCAGAAGCACGGTTATCCTCTCTAGCGCTTATAAGTATCGAAAATAAGGTTGCCCATCAGATAGATATTAATAAAATTGTAGATATATTCTCTGATAGTAGTGCACGAAGAAAGTTGTTCATCTCATAGAATAATATTATGTAATAATGTAATCATTTATTAATTTTTGTTCTATTTTATTCCATACCAATAGAGATGAAAAATTTTAGTTGGTATAAACAGTGCATCAATACACTAACACATAATTATAAGTTTTTGTTACACAAGTCGCATTTAGTAATTTTTTAAAGAGGGCCCCATTTTACAATTTTGCGGGGGGTCCTGACGGAGTTTGTTATGCCACTGTCTATGAATAAATTACGACACACTAACCACTGGAAATTATCCGTAAATGCTAAATCCGCTAAGTAGCTCTTCCCTCATTTGCGCTTCATTGAATAGCATTTGAAGTTGAACAATAATACTAGGCATTGTAAAGAAAATTTAAATTTAAACAATATTAAAAAAAAATCCAAAGAAATTATTTCGACATAAACACTGAACTTAAAGAAATTAACAGTAAGAAAGAATAATAATGTCCGAAATAATATTCAGAAACTATAATATTTTTTACATTAGTAAGGGTTCGAACGGTCTAGTGAATTTAGTAATTATTTTTTTGCGAAGTTAGTTACGTTTTGACAGACTAAAAGCACCGCTAAAAGTGTTTGGAAATTACTATACAACCAAGCATACGTACTCATAGCCAATATTATTAATAAACAAAGTAAATAGTAAATAAAATAGAACTTTGCGAATTACCGACAATCAATATTTATTTATCTGTACCATATAATAAATAGTTATGTTAAATTATAACAACTAAAATATATTTTTTAAATATATACTACCCAAAATTTGATGGGTTTAGTATGCATTTCTACTATTTAGAATAATTCTTCTTTTTTCAAAGAAAGAAGTCTGCAATAGTAGTATACTTGAGCTATTAATACTGAGAAGTAGGAATTGTTGTGTTGTAGGTAGGTTTCCGACAATGAATCTGTCAAAATATGCTCGAGCTAAGCGAATGGAGTATAAATACTACTAAATTTTCCCCGTTAGTGTCCAAAAATATAAAATATTGTAAAATGAAAATGGCCAAAATTCGTTCATTTGGCCAAAATCAATTCAAACGCCTTTGCGCTTAATATAAAATATTCTGAACAGGTTCAATGTTGCTACATAGGTACATTTGTTTTTTTTGCAATGTAAATATTATGAATTTAAGTTTTAATCAGAGTATATACCACATACGAGTTTATATTGGTTTTTTTTTCGGAGTAAATATGTAAGAGTATAGTCCATTACCCCAACGCAAAGATATATGTTTCTGGAGAAGAAATCGAACAAGTCAGCAAGGCTGCCAGGTCTAGGGATTTATCCCGAATCTAGGGATATTTCAGTATAAAAGGGACAAAGGGATTTTTTTAATATTTGGTGTAAAATCTAGGGACTTTTGATCGGTTCAAATATTTACCTACATAGGCCTATTATAATAACATTTTCTTTAATTCAGGTATAAAACCACTTCGTATTAACAGTAATTAATAAGCGATCTTTCATTACAAATAATTAAACTAATAGTAAACTACTTACGGATTCTATTATCAGATGTCGCTAACTGTCTACGTTCTTGGAATCTATTTTATGCTACCAAATAGATTTCTGTCAAAAATAGATTCCTATATATTTTCAGGAAGAAGAAGCAAATTCTGGAGCTGGAATTAGGGATTTACCAAAGTCTTAGGTTTTATAAAATAAATAATTAGGGGATTTACAGTAGGAATCGGGTGATTTACAGGATTCGTGAAAATAAATAAATAAAATTCTATGCTTCACCCGTTTCATTTCTCTTCAAGTTGTATTTTGTATTAATTTTATTAAGTAAATAATACATAATAATATACTAAATGGAATATTCAAAGCCATAAATACGTACGTTATTCCGTTTTTGTTAAATTTATTCAA